AGTGGCAGCAAACCTGGCTGGAGGGTGTGCACCGCTGGGTACCCCACAGTGGGCCAGAACAAGAAGGAACATCCTGGGCCAGTGAGAGGAGCCCCTTCCTGCTGCAGTGCCCCCTCCTCCCTCAATTGCCAGAGCCACACTGTAAATCTGGAATCTCTTCTAAGTGGTCCAATGTCAGTGAATGAATATTCTGCCCTTGTTTGTCTAATGTTGTAAGAATCCATGTTTACCTGTGTTCCCCAGGTATGTAGGTATGTTAACATTTTTGCATACATACCTTCATACCTAGGGAATGTCTCCCTCAACCGCAGAAATAATATCTGCTCCCTGCATCTGCTATTCCCATATTCTTCAGAGTTCTCCAGATTACATTCAGTAGTTATTTCCTTTTTACTTGTTAGTTATTCATATCCAATCTCTCTTGTTAAAATTATTGGTGGAAATTCTGGCTCCTAGAGGGAGATACATGTCATATAAATGTAAAATCTTGCCATTCTCTTGATGTGTCAGCTGCTTCATCCAGGGTCCTAGTATTTACTTTCCCCAAATGATACTGGGATTTCACTCTAGGCATGAATCTAGCAAAAACGGGGTAGTTAGAGTGGGACTAGAAGAGAATATCCTCTTTCAAGGCACTCTTTCCAGGTGAAGTCATCACAGTTTTTAAGTGAACAATGGGGCATCACAGGCACAGAAGGTCAAGCTGCTTCCCCTGGTGAGGAAGAGTCAGGGTGACTTGAGGGTTCAAGGTTATTTCACGGCAGGACACAGTGGTTCATGCCTGTAATCCCAACACTTTGGGAGGCCAAGGCGAGCGGATCACTTGAGGTCAGGAGTTCGAGACCAGCCTGGCCAATGTGGTAAAACCCCATCTCTACTAAAAATACAGAAATTAGCCGGGCATGGTGGCACGCACCTATAGTCCCAGCTACTTGGGAGGCTGAGGCAGGAGAATTGCTTGAACCCAGGAAGCAGAGGTTGCAGTGAGCTCTTTCTGTCTTTCTCTGGGAACAAGCATGCCAGATATGGTTTGGCTGTGTCCCCGCCCAAATCTCAATTTGAATTGTATCTCACAGAATTACCGCTTGTTGTCCGGGGGTGGGGGGACCCCTGGGGTAGGTAATTGAATCCTGAGGGCCAGTCTTTCCTGTACTAATCTCATGATAGTGAAGAAATCTCACAAGATCTGGTGGGTTTATCAGGGATTTCTGTTTTTGCTTCTTCCTCATTTTGTCTTGCCACTGCATGTAAGAAGTGCCTTTTACCTCCTGCCATGATTCTGAGGCCTCACCAGCCATGTGTAACTCTAAGTCCAATTAAACCTCCTTTTGGTCCCAGTTTCAAGTATGTCTTTATCAACAGTGTAGAAATGAGCTGTTGCAGTAAACTCGTACCAATAGAAGTGGGGCGTTGCTGAAAAGATACCAAAAATGTGGAAGCGACTTTGGAACTGGGTAACAGGCAGAGGTTGGGCAATTTGGAGGGCTCGGAAGAAGACAGGAAGATGTGGGGAAGTTTGGAACTTCCTAGAGACTTGTTGATTGGCTTTGACAAAAATGCTGATAGTGATACGAACAGTAAGGTCCAGGCTGAGGTGGTCTCAGATGGAGATGAGGAATTTATTGGGAACTGGAGCAAAGGTGACTCTTGTTATTTTTAGCAAAGAGACTGGTGGCATTTTCCCCCTGCCCTAGAGATTTGTGGAACTTTGAACTTGAGAGAGATGATTTAGGGTATCTGGCGGAAGAAAAGCCTAAGCTTCAAAGCATTCAAGAAGTGACTTGGGTGTTGTTAAAAGCATTCCATTTTAAAAGGGAAACAGAGCATAAAAGTTCAGAAAATTTGCAACCTGACAATGTGGTAGAAAAGAAAAACCCATTTTTTGAGGAGAAATTCAAGCTGGCTGCAGAAATGTGCATAAGTGGCAAGGAGCTTAATGTTAATCCCTAAGACAATGGGAAAATTTCTCCAGACCATGTCAGAGACCTTCACAGCAGTCCCTCCCATCACAGGCCCAGAGGCCCAGGAGGAAAAAGTGGTTTCATGGGCCAGGCTTAGGGTCATCATACTGTTTGCAGCCTGGGTATTTGATGCCATCTGTCCAAGCTGCTCCAGTCGTGGCTGAAAGGGGCCAATGTAGAGCTTGGGCCATGGCTTCAGAGAGTGGAAGCCCCAAGCCTTGGCAGCTTCCATGTAGTATTGAGCCTACAGGTACACAGAAGTCAAGAACTGAGGTTTAGGAACCCCCACCTACATTTCAGAAGAGGTATGGAAACACCTGGATGCCCAAGTAAAAGTTTGCTGCAGGGGTGAGGCCCTCCTGGAGAGCCTCTGCCGCAGTGTAAAAGGGAAAAGTAGGGCTGGAGCCCCCACACAGAGTCTTCACTGGGCCACTGCCTAGTGGAGCTGTGAGAAGAGGGCCATCATCTTCCAGATCCCAGATGGCAGGTCCACTGGCAGCTTGTACCATGAGCCTAGAAAAGACACAGACACTCAACTCATGAAAGCAGCCAGGAGGGAGGCTGAATCCTGCAAAGCCACAGGGGTGGAGCTGCCCAAGACCACGGGAACTCACCTTTTGCATCAGCATAACCTGAATGTGAGACTTGGAGTCAAAGGAGATCATTTTGGAGCTTTAAAATGTGACTGCTCCGCTAGATTTCAGACTCCCTTGGGCCCGGTAACCCCTTTGTTTTGGCCAATTTCTCCCATTTGGAATGGTTGTATTTACACAACGCCTGTACCAGCATTGTATCTAGGAAGTAACTAGCTTGCTTTTGATTTTACAGGCTCACAGGCAGAAGGGACTTGCCTTGCCTCAAATGAAACTTTGGACTGTGAACTTTTGGGGTAATGCTGAAATGAGATAAGACTTTGGGGAACTGTTGAGAAGGCATGACTGGTTTTGAAATGTGAGGACGTGAGATTTGTAGAGGCCAGGGGCAGAATGATATGGTTTGGCTGTGTCCTCACCCAAATTTCAACTTGAAATTGTATCTCCCAGAATTCCCATGTGTTGTGGGACAGACCCAGGGAGAGGTCATTGAATCATGGGGGCTGGTCTTTCCCATGCTATTCTCATGATAGTGAATAAGTCTCATGAGATCTGATGGGTTTATCAGGGGTTTCTGCTTTTGCTTCCTCCTCATTTTACTGACGCCTTGTAAGAAGTGCCTTTCGCCTCCTGCCATGATTCTGTGGCCTCCCCAGACGTGTGAAACTGTGAGTCCAATTAAACCTCCTTTTGTTCCCTGTTTTGGGTATGTCTCTGTCAGCAGTGTGAAAACGAACCAATACAGTGCCTGTACAGTGTCAGCAGAGCAATGGTATGTTCTACAGACCGTAGTGATGTAGGACCAAGGCATGGCCTTCCCACATTGTGGCTACATGGCTGTGATAACAAGCGGAATTATATGCCTGTACTGTGCGCTAAACTCACTGAGTCACTCTGGATGTTTGCCTCGGCTTGCCTATCCTTGACCAAAGCACAGCCATGTTCCCTACAGGAACGCAAAATCTTGTTCTTGTAACTTGGAGACTGAAGGAAAAGAATCATTAGCAAAGTCTACTGAAGAATATGCCTGAAGTAAGGGTTTCTGTGGTTTTTTTTCCAAACTCCGAATAATTAAAATAAAACTAAATGCACTAACAAGATAATTTTGAATCTTGGGGACCTTAAAATTATAAAGGTCCTTAGATAAGTAAAACATCTGAAATAGATGACTTGCTCTATTCAGATAAAGTAGTATCTTTACATGATTATAGAAAATATAACATAGTACGCTCAATATGGTGAGGTAAGAAACTCAACTTATCTTGTGGGAAAATGTTAAGATATGGAATATTTTACCACTTTAAGCTACTTTTTTGTTTTGGGTTTTTAAAAATAATGTATTTAAAGTCGTTCTTTGGAAATCTGTGCAAACTTGCTAAAGTATAGAAAATTTCTGCAAATAGAGAATAATAGAAAAAACTAAATATTAACACATAAAAATTTAAACGTGAATCATATTTTATGTAAAGTTATAAATGGGGATATAATAAGAACTATGCTAGTATTGCAGCACAGAATGCTATTTTGTAAAAGGAACAGGGAAAATCTTTCCTTTGTCTGGCCTGAGTTTAATAACATGTTACTGGGAGGTGTGTGGGAAATCTTGAACAATGGGCATATGCTCACGCCATGCCCTAAAAGATGTGATGTTAGCCATGCCTAATAAATTTTATGGAACTCATTAGGGAATGTGGAGCAATGGAGACAATTCATATGACTGATTTCTGAAGAGCGCAAGCAAATTTACTGTTGTATTGAAGCTGAGATGGACCAGGGGTGAAACAGGAGTGCTCAGAGGTGCTGTGCTGATGAAGGGACCTTGGAGGCTAACACATGGAAGAGCCATATTTAATACAGTCAACCCATCGAGATTTACAGATCATGCCTTTTGTTAGAAAATAGTTGCTAGAAAGAGAAAAATCAACCATAGTCACTAACACAGGCCTTGATTAAAACATCGTAGTGTGAGAAGAGCTCCCAGATGAGTTTCTGTGGAGAAAAAGGAGGTTAAAGATTTGATAGGACAGATTGGGGAACGTTGGTCAAAGTTCAGCTTGTTCCTTGAAGAGTTCTTTTAGAATCTTTGAAGGCATCAGACACCTCTATTATATTACAAACAAGACAGGCTATAGGGCAGCCAGCACAGAGGCATGGGTTTACAGCCACTCACTAGAGATGCTGGGTTTAGCAAAGGGGTGGGGAGACGCAGCTGGGGCCAAGGTTTTGCAAGGTTCAGTGGAAGGTTTTCAGAATGTTAGAGTCTCCGCAACTCATTTAATATATTTGTCTTAAAAAATAATTCGAGCTTCCGACCTGATTCTTCAGGGTCATATCTAGCATAGACTATTTCTGCATCTGTTTCCCAACTAAGACTGAAGTGCAACTCCTAATCTGCTTTTAATTTGAACAGTATATATGATGTTACTTTTTTTTTCTTTTTGTCTAGGCTGGAGCCAATGTCCTTCTCCAGGATGTGAATGGAAATATCCCATTAGATTATGCCGTAGAAGGGACAGAATCCAGCTCTATCCTATTGACCTATCTGGATGAAAATGGTAGGCAAAACTTTTAAAACCATAGAAAAAAATAGATTGGGAGAATTGTAAGTGTGTATTCATTTTCACAGGTTTGCTTACGTGATTTCTGGTGGACGTAGTTTCCCCATGTGGTGTAGAAGATGGTGTTTTTTTCCCTTCAACTTTCCATTGCTCTCCCTGCACTGCATTGTGGTTTAGTCAATGCTGGTGTTTTTGCAAGCCAGCAGAAATCTAGAGGCCAACAATGAAGGGACATTTTAACAGGCATCTGAAGTCCATAATTAGTGGGACTGGGTTTGTAATTATAATCTATTCTCCCCTGGGAGAGGAAGGGAAGTCAACCAACACAACTGAATTTTGAGCTAATGAGAACAAGGTCATCTGAAATGTATTCTCTTAGAAGCAGGTAGTCCTAGCTGGAATTAGAGGCAAGGAAGTGAGGACTTAAGTCAAGAACAATTGTCTGCAAGTTGACCTTTTGTGACACTTAGAACACAAAGGTCATCAGAAGAAAGCCCTGTGGTCATGATACTAGCCTGAAAAGATGAGGTTGAGCCCCTAAATGCATTCACTGACAAAGGATGTTTAATTATACAGGTCCAGCATATAATTTCATCAGTAAGTGCAGCCTTGAGAAAGTGGGAGGTATGAGAATCCCTGAGCCCAATATAGTATTAAACTAAAGAATTATGCCCCTCCTTTTTTCCCCTGCTGTTTAAGTATAAACAAAATAAAGAAATTCCAATCCCTTCAAAGTGACCCTTGGCCAGAGAAAAGTTTACAGTTTTTAAGAGCCACGTGGAGCTTATGTCGATACTCTTTTTGCCTCTAAGAAAACCTCACATCTGTCTCATTGTTCCCTTGTGCTCTCTGCCTCCTCCAGATTGCTTTTATGAAAAAGGTTTATTCTGAGGATGGCTTAGAATAATGTTAGTACTTAGCAGCAATGAGTTCTCAGATAAAATAGTCTCATTAGTTGTGAAAGCAAGGTAGATGTGGTTACCATGACAGGGGATGCTGTGAGCATGGCCGTGCTGCTGAAGGTCACCGGGTGGGGGTCTCAGGAAGAAGCAGGCTGGGTCGGGCTGGCAGTGCATTCAGTTGACCACTCTGCAGCTCAGTCGTGCCTGGGCACTGTCACCTGTGGGAATGCTCACTCACTTTCTCCAAGTCTTGTTAGCTCTGCCCTGTGGGAGGCGGATTCCATTACTTCTAAAGGGAATGAAGCTTGAAGTTATGCAGACTTCATTATTGGGAAGTTAATTATTTGAATCTTTGCCAGACTGCACAGATAGCATGCAATTCTGAGTTTACATGAAATACTTGGCACAATGGTGCCTATAGTTAATAATACTGTATTGCATACTTTGAAATTTGCAAACATACGCAAATTTGCAAACATATATGAGATCATAGTTCGTATGCTAAGTGTTCTTATCACCAAATAGTAGTAAAAATAACAGTAAATAAAGAGTGTGGGAGGAAATTTGGAGGTGATGGGTATATTTATGGCATATAATATGGGGATGTTTTCTGGGATGTATACTTATCTACAAACATCAAGTTGTATACAGTAAATATGTACAGTTTTTGTATGTTGGTCATACTGCAATAAAATGGTTTAAAAAAATAAAATCCGTGATGCCAAATTTTCAAAAAGTCCTTGACCATGTTTTGTTTCGCTGTGACATTTCTATATTATTATTTCCTGCTTTTTCTGTCTTTCTGAATTTTAAAACACTATGGTAATAAATGTTTCTTTTAGAAAATAAAATGACATTTATTTTCTAATGCATTCACATTGCTTATAAACCTCTCCAACTCATGACAGCATTTTGTTTGATAGGAAATTTTAGTATTGCAAGATCAGTATTTTATATCCTTTGTAAAGAATAAAAATAAGTGTCTTCCTTTGAGAGGCAGATTTTTTAAAAGGAGTATGCAAAAACAAAACAAAACAAAAAAGAACAAAACAAGAGGAACGTACTAACTCTTAAATGGTTAGTAGAAAATCTGCCACTACTATGGCTGTCACGGTCAGCTTGTTAAATACATGTTTGCTGGAACAAACTCAATTTAATATCTCTTAAATTTTTAATTCTGTTTGCCATTTGTCACTGCAGTCACTCTGGCCCGTGCCTTCACATCCATCTGCCCTTCCCTCAGCTCATTCACAGTCTGCTTCTGCTTATGTTGCTCTTCCTCCCACTATCTCCATCATCTGCCGCCGTTCCCGGTAAATACTGTCTAATTTGATTTATTCTCTGGCCCTCTGCTTGGTACACTTTTACAATTATCTACTGTGACAACATGGGCTGACGTCTTTAGAAATCCTTACTATTTCAAGATGAGATTTTTATTATTATTTGGCTCTGGGTATTTCAGCATTGCCTTTTTATAACCAGGTGGTTGCAATCCTAGAATTTTCATTTTGCGTTGTGCAGTTTCGCATCCGAGTACTTATCACCTGTCACATCAGGATGCATGTGGCAGAGGAGGCTGGCAACGTCTTGAACAAGTTGATTACATGGAAAATCGCTGGTCACAAGTCCTAATTGTGCTGTCACCACCGACTAACACTGTAAACTCGGGGACAGCAATTAACCTCGGATCACCGCCTGAGCCTGCCAGGCTGTAAAATGAGACAACCACGGAGAGCGATTGAGCATTTGATGAATATTAGATCTCCAGTGCAAGGAGAACCAGCTGGCATGCAAGGAAGGCAGTCGATTAGAAAGTGAGCCAGCATGGAAAGAAAGCACTGATGGGAGAGCCCGAAGAGTGCCCAGGATAAAAGATCAGCATAATGTGTACATTATACACACACACACACACAAATATTCTTGTCCCTGAAAGACACCAAAAGCTTTCGTTGGTTCTGCATACATCACCATTCACTGTCTTTTCTTCTTTCAAACCCATTCTTCTAACAATCATAGCTCACATTTATTTTCCTGAGTTCCTACTTTCCTGTGGTTCAGCCCACTGAAGTTCAGTTTCTAAACCTGCAAACCCATTAGAAATGCCCTTGGAACAATTGTGATTACCTTCCTTAGTTTTCTACTCAGTGATAGCTTTCTTTCCTTTTTTATTACCTTATCTGTCTTTGACATTCGATGACTTTGGTGACACTCTCTTAGGAGCATTCTCTCTCCTGCCATCTTCCCATGGTTTTCCTTCCTGTCTTCGAGCTTCTATTTAGGTTTCTTTTGAGTGTTTCCCGTGTCTGTCCAGATTGCTAAATGTTGGTCCCTCCTGGGGCTTTGTCTTTGACAATCTTCCATCTTCCCCAATGCTGTTGCTGGGTTATCTCAGCCTTTTGCTTGTGTTGTTACCACTTGCTGGTTCTCAAGAATATCCCTGTAGCTTAATTATCTTTCAAGACCTTCATTCCTGTATATGCAGTTTTATTAAGTATCTTGACTTGAGTGTCAGATAGTTTGAAATAACATGTCTCTATGGAATGTATTATTGTCCTTTCACTGTCTGTATTTCATATTTGGCCATTATCACCAGGAACATCACTTCTCTTCCATATCGTCATGTCTGATTGTCGCCAATTCTTACAGATTCTACTTATTTGCTATCTTTCTAATATGTCCACCCAGATCACAAATCATGCTGTCACTGCTTTAATTAACATGCTGGTCTTTCTATTTTGGATTACTACAGTAGCTTCCAAAACTGGTCTTCTTGCCCCCAGTCTTAATCTTCCCCGTTCATTTTTCAGAGGACTCCTGGGTGAATCAGTTCACGAATATCATGTGTTTTTTTTAGTTTAAGGCAGTTTATTTGAAATGCTCTCCCTGCACCAGCCTCTTCAAAATCATGCATTTTGATTTTGGGGTTACAGTTCCCATGACTATGTAAGATGGTCACAAGTCATGCCTGCTATTAGGGCTGGGAGAAGGGAATGGGTGGAGGGTAGCAGCACCCTTTCTGTTTATTTCTCTTTGCTGGAACTACTTTATTTGTCTGCTCAACTCTTTTACTTCCGTGCGTCTCTTAGAACACTTACTATGAAGATAAAAATTTGGGTTAGCGGCAGTTCTATGAGCTTAGAGGATCCCATGCTAAAATCATGAGATAGGGCATATTATAGTGAATTGCAAATGCCTGTTTAGCTTTGTTTCCTTTTTGAGGGCAAAGATGATGTTTTATGTATGACCAAATGATGACACAATGGCATATGATAATGAATAAAAATAAGGCATATGCAGATCTTATAAAAACACCAAGGAGGAAGGATATGATTTTCCTTACAAGTAGTACAGAAGGCATCACAGAGGTGTCACCTACACTAAGCTGAAGGTGAGGGGCTGGGTTACCGCAGGGAGACCAAGCAGAGTGGTCTGACCCAGGCATAGGGAGTAGCATAACTGAAGGTAAGAAGATTGGAAAAGCCACAGAAGAGAGGAGGTGCAGATCCTCCCACAACTCGGGAGAGCCCACAGCTGTGCAGTTCAGCATGGTCATAAAACCATCATAATAGCAGCAAAGAGTAGCCCTAATATCAACAGAGAAAAGGAAAAGTTGAATTCTTACAAAAACAATTATTACCTTAAGAGGGACGGTTAAGGAAAGTTAAGTTAGGGTTCAGATTGACTTGGGTTGTTGATGTAATTTCAGTTTTGCACAAGAAGCCAGTGCTATTATCAGATTAAACCAGGTGGTAATAATATCACAAGTAATAACGTGTGGATTTCAGGTAAATTATTTTGTTTCTTAATTCTTATATTAAAATAAATTACTAAATTTCTTTCAAAATAATAAATCTAAACAGATCTTCCATTGACTTATTTTAGAAAAACAGTATGAAAATCTACATTTTGTACAGAAAATGAGAATGGACCCATTGTCCATTACAAAATAGACTTATGGGCTCTATCCATCTTGGTTGGTTTTATCCAGGAGCATTAAAGAAATTTGACAACCAAGAGGGGGAGTTTCTGTTGTGTTGTATTAACCAAAAGTGATCTGGACTACTTTCCTGAATATACAAAAAAAAAAAGAAATCTAAAATTCACATTTTAATTGGCATCATATCTAATTCAAAATTAAGTTTTCAAACATTAGGATACAATGTAATAATATTCCCCTGTGATATCTTCACAACAGGGACCAGAAATAGATTTTTTTCTCTTAATATAATGAGTCTGCAGTGAGTGATGTCTTATCTCTGTTTTAATTTGTTACTTGTCTTTAATCTTGTGTTTTTATCACTCCCTTTTAAATACATAATTATATAAAAGATACATACAACTTTAGTAGACATTGTAACATCCTAAAAGTTAACAAAGTAACTTTAGAGTGACTATCAGATTCTTCTGCTACTTTAGCATGCAAAATTGAAGGCTGACATCTGAGAAATGATATTTGCCAAAATAAAATCACACATGAAATTTCATAATCCTGAAAGTCAGAATAAGTGACAGTTTTAGCTGGTTCATAACAGACCTCAAATGACTCTATAAGGGAAATGTTAGTTCTAAAATGGCATGTCCATGATTCAGAAGCTGAGGAATGGTCACGGGTGTTTCTATTTCTTGTTTCTACTAAAATGGACTAGCTTTGAACAGAATATTTGAAACGAGATACATTATTCAAATACTGCATTTTGCTTTACTCTGTTTTGTTAGTCCATGCTTCCTAAATGACCAAACGATAATATATGACACACCTAAATGACAGGTATGAAAAACACATGTCAGAAAGCTGACTAATAATCACAGATCACTTTTATTTAGTGCTTTCTGAAAGCTAAATACGTGTTATAAGTTTTATGTGTTTTAACTCATTCTCAAGCAACGGACTAATCACATACTACCAACACCATTTTGCAGTTGAAGAAACAGAGGCAGAGGATAAGTTACTTGCCCACGTTGGCACAAGTAGTCATTGATACAGCACTAACACCCAAGCAGGTTGAGTCCAGAGCGCCTCTTCTCTATTGCCCATCCAGGTTCGGAGAAGGAGCTGTAGCATGAGGCAGAGTTGAAGTGCCCCAGGGGGAAAAATGATACCAGATATGCAACACGCTTGATGTGGTTTCTGCTATAGAGCTACATCTTAAAAGAATGAACTATTATCTGAGGGACTAAGCACATTGAAGCCCACATAGGTTAAATAACTTTCGCAGAGTCAACCTGAGGAAGGAAACTACAGATAGGCACGTTCAGGAGCATCAATCCGAGGTTTATTCTTGGGTCCACTGTGCTAGGCTTTCTCTTGATGTTTGCTGCCCGGATGCAATCACATAAGAGAAAAGTGCTCAGAAGAGTGGCTTGTTCATAGCAAACATTTGCTATGAGGGAGGTATCACCATCATTATCATTTTTCCCTTGGAAGAAGATGAATTAGTTCTCCTTAGCAGATACCTATTTTGTTCAGGAACCAATGCTAGGAATAGGAGACACATCAGTGAAGAGACACAGCTACCACAGAGATGATACATCATGAAATTTCAGGTTAAAATATATGCTGAATAGAGGTATAGGCAGGAATTCAGCAGACCTGAGCTTTCTGTGCACCACTTCCCCACCTGGGTGAAGTCAGACTATGGATTCTACAATCAATGTTAGTTATCTTTATTAACATTAGTAGTCATTAAATGTTCAATGGATGCATCTTTTTAAAAACTTATTTTAAAGTCATTTTAGATTACAAGAAAGTCTAAAGATAGCACAGAGTTCCCAAATGCCCTTCACAGAGCTTCCCCTAATGGGAACACTTACATAGTCATGGTACATTTATCAAAACTAAAAAGTTAACATTGGGACAATATTAACGGTACTAAACTAAAGACTTTATTCACAGTTTTCCAGTTTTTAGACTAACGTGTTTTTTTTTTTTTTTTTTTTTTTTTGAGATGGAGTTTTGCTCTTGGTGCCCAGGCTGGAGTGCAATGGTGCAATCTTGGCTCACTGCAACCTCCACCTCCTGGGTTCAAGTGATTCTTCTGCCTCAGCCTCTCGGGTAGCTGGGATTATAGGTGCTCGCCACCACACCCAGCTAGTTTTTGTACTTTTAGTAGAGACGGGATTTCACTATGTTGTCCAGGCTGGTCTTCAATTCCTGACCTCAGGTGATCTGCCCACCTTGGTCTCCTAAAGTTCTGGGATCAGGTGTGACCCACTGTGCCCAGCCTAAAGTCTTTTCTTCTAGTCCAGGATATTAGATTGCTTTTAGAAGCAACTATTTTGGCCAGAAAAATCATAGAGATCAAAAACTGTGTCTTTGTTGTTTCCATTTAAGTACTTTAAAATACTTGGAGTAATGTATGTTGATGATTTATATTAAAACAGATATTAATTGAAAACCTGCCATTATAAGGCATCATATCATACTTTAGGACATAACAAGGGATAATTTTATATTTTTTCAAGACTATAGTTGGAAATACAATATGTGCAAAGATAAACAATCAGTTCTTTGAATGAGTGTTCAAAGTAGAAGAGGAGCTTCAAAGAAGAACGTGTTGAAAGAATAGATGATAAAGCTAGGCTTTGACCCCCAGGAACTGAGAACTACCTGTCCATTCTGGTTGAAAGGCTCTTTCTCCCCACAGGAGTGGATTTGACCTCACTGCGCCAGATGAAGCTTCAGAGACCCATGAGCATGTTAACAGATGTCAAACACTTCTTATCATCTGGAGGAAATGTCAATGAGAAAAATGATGAAGGAGTAACCCTGGTAAGTTCATATATTTGACTCAGAAACTGTTTAAAGAGAGAATTTAAGTTGATTTATAAAACATAGAAGTCATTACAATTAACCTTTAAATAATTGTTGTGATCATAAAAGTAATACATGTCAGTTGTAGAAATTTTGGAAAACACGTAAGTAGGCAAAGAAGAAAATGCAGACCCAGCAGTTGCATTGTTGTGTATCTATCCAAAGAATATAAATCATTCTACCATAGACACATGCATGCATATGTTCATCCCAATGCTGTTTATAATAGCAAAGACATGGAATCAACCTAGGTGTCCATCAAGGTGGAAGGATACAGAAAACATCATACATATACACCATGGAATACTACACAGCTGTAAAAAGAACAAAGCCATGTCCTTCATAGCCACATGAATGCAGCTAAAGGCCATTACCTAAGAGAATTAACGTAAGAACAGAAAACCAAATATCACATTTTCTCACTCATAAGTGGGAACTGAACACTGAGTCCACATGGATACAAAGAAGGAAATGGGACACCAGGGCCCACTTCAGGGTGGAGAGTGGGAAGAGGGTGAGGACGACACACCACCTAAGGGGTACTATGCTCATTACCTGCGTAATGAAAAAATCTGTATATCAAGCCCCTACAACACGCAATTTACCCATGTAACAACATGCACATGTATCCCACTGATCCTAAAATAAAAGCTAGAAGGAAAAAATGCAAAATACTTATGCCACTACCCAGGGAAACCAGTGTCTCTAGGTTGGTATATTTTCTTCAAGCCTTTCTCCTATGTATGTTTTTCCTACAAATTTAAAATAATTGTATGCATTACTTAGTCCATGTTGGTTTTGAAATGTAACTTATAGGAGCATGCTTTTATTTTAGTGTTCAGTAAAACAAACTATGAATGACTTTGGTGAGTGAATTTCTAAATTCAAGCAAACTCCTGTCATTACTTTTTATTGCTCTCAAGCACTGTTGCAGTAAATTATTAAAAGATCAACTAAATTTGGATAAATTTGTATATACTTGATGTCTAATCACCAAAATAAGAACATTTTGCCCTAGTGACCTGTAAAACTTACCTGGGTTACTGTGAGTTACAATTAATGATGACAGAAAGAAATGTAATACCCAGTGGAAAAATTTTTGAGAGAAAGTAAACTAGAATAGGAGAAGGGAGTTCGGAATTCTGAAGTGTGAATTGCATAGAAATGCTTCAAATAAGTGATTCATTTCTCCCATGAAGAAAATATGGTGTGAGGTTGAAGACAGTTGATAAGGAAAGTGATTTAACTGAATAGATAAAAGTTTTGTTGTCTGAAAAGTTTCCTTGAGATCTAATACATTTTTTACATTTATTAAATGCAGATTAAGTGACTGTTACCTCTAGATGGTCACATTCTAAAAATGTGTTGTTTTCTTATGACTTAGAGTTACATTGTTATAGTCTCCTAAAGTTTATAAATATGTAAGTATTGATTCTGGAAAATAAAATTTAGAAAACTCTAACTTTAAAATGTTATAATTGTAAAAGCTTCTAAAATTTTCTCTCTCTTTTCTTCCTTCCTTCCTTCCTTCTTTTTTTTTTTTTTTTCGGAGTCTTGTTCTGTCGCCCAGGTTGGAGTGCAGTGGCATGATCTTGGCTCACTGCAACCTCCACCTCCCAGATTCAAGTGATTCTCATGTCCAAGTGATTCTCCTGCCTCAGCCTCCTGAGTAGCTGAGACTACAGGCGCATGCCACCATGCCCAGCTACATTTTTGTATTTTTATTAGAGACGGGGTTTCACCATGTTGGCCAGGATTGTCTTGATCTCCTGACCACGTGAGATGACCCCCTCAGCCTCCCAAAGTGCTGGGATTACAGGTGTGAGTCACCGCACCTGGCCAGCTTCTAAAATTTTTAAATTATGCTTTCCTAAATTTTGTCTTCCAAAATTGATATTTACAAATTTGTAAACTTTAGAAGACTATAGCAAGGTAACTCTTTCATAAGAAAAGAAAGCAGAGCATATTTAGCGTGTTTTGAAAAATAACGCATTCAAACAGCAAAAGCGTTCAGAATTAATGAAGAAATGTAACTGGCCACATGCTATGAACAAAACAATAGTGACCAAAATTCTTTTGTCATGGATCCACATTTCAGTTGGGAAAATGGGTACTAGACACTATAAATGAGCTAAATATATAGGATCCTAGCAATAAATGCAAGGGAAAAAACAACACAGGGACATGTTGGTCATATTGTTGCCATCTTGGATGGATAGACAGGAAAGATCTAACCAACAAGGGTGTTTTCAATAATGACTTCAAAGAAGAGAGAGCACAGTGGGGCTGTAGAGGGAGAGTGTTCCAGACTGAGAGTGAGAAGGGCAAACCACAAACTCCTACAGTGTCAGGGGCGAGTGTGGTGTGCCTGAGAAACAGCAAGGAGCCCGTATGGCTGAAGCAGTGTCAGCAAGGAAGGAGAGGTGCTGGGACCAGATCACACAAGCTTTTATGGGCCTATATGAGGACCACAGCTATGACTCTGCATGGGTTGGGAAGATAGTGGGAAGTTCAGAAGAGAGGAGGGGCATGAGCCTGCTCCATTTTAAAAGGATCACCTACTCTGGCTGTTGTGTTAAGAACTGACTGAACATCCTTCTATAAAGACACATGCACACGTATGTTTATTGCGGCACTATTCACAATAGCAAAGACTTGGAATCAACCCAAATGTCCATCAGTGACAGACTGGATTAAGAAAATGTGGCACATATACACCATGGAATACTATGCAACTGTAAAAAAGGATGAGTTCATGTCCTTTGTAGGTACATGGATGCAGTTGGAAACCATCATTCTCAGCAAACTCGCAAGAACAGAAAACCAAACACTGCATGTTCTCACTCATAGGTGGGAATTGAACAGTGAGATCACTTGGACACAGGAAGGGGAACATCACACACCGGGTCCTATTGTGGGGAGGGGGTGGGGGGAGGGATAGCATTAGGAGATATACCTACTGTAAATGACGAGTTAATGGATGCAGCACACCAACATGGCACATGGATACATATGTAACAAACCTGCACGTTGTGCACATGTACCCTAGAACTTAAAAGAACTGACTGAAAAGGACAGGGGCGAACCTGAGAGTTTGTTTAGGAGGCTTTTCCAGTAATCTAGGCAATCAGTGATGTAGCTCAGACAACAGGGGTAGAATTGTAGTGCAATTAGACCTCCTAATAAATGTGTTGTGTGAGATAAAGTGAAGGCTTTAGAATGACTCTAAGCATTTTTAGCTTAAACTACCGGTGTGATGGAGATGGCATCAAATGAGATGAGGCTGAAGAAGACACAAACCTAAAGCAGGAAAGATCACATCAGTTCTGGAGATACTAAGTTTAAAGTGCCTCTTAGCCATCTTAATGGAGCTGTTGGATTTGTGGTTGGACATTGGAGTCTGGAATTCAGATCTCTAGATGAAAGAAAGAATTTGGAGAACATTAGCATATATGTGATATTGAAAGTTTTTATACTGGATGAAGTCACTACTTATATGCAGAAGGAAAGAAATTTGGGACCAAGCCATGGAGATGAAGAAGAGGAGGCTCCAGAAAGGAGATGAGAAGGAGCAAGCAGTAAGGAAGGTAGAAAACCAAGAGGACAAAATGTCCTCGGAGCCAAATGAAAAGTTTGAGGAAGAGGGAAGAATGATAGACTAGCAAATGCTGCTGAGTGGTCAGTTAAATGGGAAATGTGAATTGGGTATTGGACTTAGTAACTTGGAGGTCATTGACTTTCTCTTGGAGGACAGTTTCAGTGGACTAGTAGGGTCAAAAGTCTGATTGGTGTGAGTTATTTAATTAATAATTTATTTATTACATGTAATGAATTAATGCCTAACACATAATAGAAACGCAATAGAGCCTTTGTTATTTTGTATGGTAGAATATATTACAACTTCATATTTTTTAAAAAAAAAACACTGCTAAGTAAAAACAAAATGCATACTTCAACCACTGCTAAATAAAAGAGCATACACACTTCAGTAGAGAAGCTATTGAAACAATCAATACAGAGCAATAAATTGCTATGATTTTCAAGCATTTTCAATTTTGACTTTCCTTGTGACCTTGTTTTTATTGAACAGAGAGCATAAATGTTGCAAATAATTGTTCTAAAATAACCAAATCTTGTGGTCATCATTTTTGAGCTTTTAACAAGAAAGTAACAATGAATAAAAGACTAGAATGAAAATTACAGCATTTAACAGCCAGTGGTTTGGTTTGATTCACATGTCTGAATTGGTTAGTCTGTGTATGTTAATAACTGTCATTTCCTTGTGTTTTCTTTTCTGTAAGCTATATAGTGTATTTATCTATTATGGCGACAAGGAGAAGACGACACTTTTGTTCACAGATTGATTTCCATACCTGAGTTGGAATGTCAGTTGTGGTTCAAAATTAAGCATAATTTTTCACACTGTTAAATTGTTATGTGCAAAAGAGAAGAAACTAACAACAAAAGGTTCAATGGGAATAAACTTCTAATAGGACAGATTTGGAGTTGACTTTACCTCCTTTATTAGAATTGCAGCAAAATAACCAAACATAACATATCTCTTTTTAAAAGAGATCTTTTAGTTTACATTATCTTCTTGTTAAAGTAAATAGGAGCCTCAGAAAACGATACAATTTTAATAAACACCATGTTACAGAGTATATGAAAATGAATTCGTCAGTTTGAGAATATAGTCTTTGAAAATATTAATGTGATAACTAGCATATATATTATGAAGACATTGTTTTATTGTTTACTGTGTTAGCACATAATTTGATATATCACATCTGGCCTTGAGGCTTATTTATTTGCCTTGTTAGGAAAGAATTATTCGGGAGATGCAGGTATCAAGCAATTTTATTTTTGTCACCTTTATTTCGGTAATGCTGGTTCATCCCTTACTTACAGCTGGAGACAGCCATTGATTTTATGGTCATTTTTAAAGAATACAACTTCTG